ACAAGCACACAAAAATTTTAATGACATTAAAGTTGCATACATTAGACTAAGGAGCACTTGGTACACCCAATTTCCCACAGTTGTTAAATTAGTGTTGTTAGAGTTCTCAAAAGTTCATCTCAAATCTATAATAGAAAATGCAACCATAAACAAGCTGCCGTAAGTATTTCTCTGTTTTGTTGCAAATTTACTCTGTCAGATCTTATTGCATGACGAGTCAAGGGCAAGCACATAATCTGTAAAAATCTACATCGGAAAATTTGCTATTCCCTCACCTATAAGGAGCACTGCTCTTAGTTTTAGTGCCACCAGTACAGAAGGATTATGTTGGCTTCACTTTCTATTCAACTTGCAAAATGCAAAATGCAAACCCAGGTCAACCATAGCTTGGTAAGGTGCATTTTGGCATCCTTGCACCAGTTATCTTCAAGTTTAAATAAGTTGCACTGCATGCATTTTATCTGATTGGGAAAGGTTACCGTTTAGCTAAACATTTGCAGGACACCCCATTAAAAAATAGCTCTCTAATGAGCAGCTGTGAATGTTTAAACTTTTAGAGTAGGCCGCATTAATTTGAACTCTATAATGTACCCATATAATATAGGATATGCGCATCATCAAGATTCACCATAGAATAAAACTGCTCCAGACCTGCCAGTGGTTCCCAACATGCATGATTTTTCTATTGCTGGTTTTCACTGTCACGCCATCAAAAATGAAAATCGTAACCATCCAATAAATTTTAAGAATAGATCTGCTCAAGATATAATAGACGATTGATATACATGTTTATTACATAGGTTGTTCTTGTGACCAATATAACGTGCACTCTGATTGGCTAATTGTAGGGTATTATTCTCCTGTAATGCCCACGGGCTGATTACTGGCTTGCAAAACAAAGAAAAAAGCCACATAACAAACAACTTATTAACCTCGAACATTCGGTCTTTACGGGAAAATCTCAAACCTCGACCTTGCCGTATTGACCGAGCGAGAAGTCTCCGTCTGAGATTTTCCCGTAAGGACCTCACTCTCAGTAAATAAGTAGTAATAAACAACCTATCCAAGATCTAGGTCCATATCCTTTTTTATTTGGGTGTTGTATTCAGAAAAGTGTTTCACCCAAATTTATAGAGCTTTATATGGAAATGCCATGTTGGTGACCCTTGGAAGGGTTTTTACAAACACCTGAGTAAACATTTGTCGTTGAGTTTTGCTACTGAAATGAAAAGTTATTACTTGAGCGCTCCGACACTTTGAAATTAATTTACTTCTTCCTATCTAGCACAAGAACTGTTCGGGTAGGAAAAGCTGAAAATGTCAAGTTACAATGTATTAGAGGGTCTTACATCTGTTGGAAATAAAAGTTCATAAGGATTGGTAATTTCTAATTTTGGAAAATGATGATGTCACATGAAAAACAGAAAACAGAGATGTATGGCTGGACATTATAGAAGAACCAAAACCCAGAGAAGAGTTTATAGTATCATTCCATAATTTTGTTAATTTAATAATATCATCCATGAAACATAACTTTATCAGAAATATTCAACTTGGTTTTAGATGAAAGCACGACAGTGTAGAAGAAAGCACTAGTCTGAAGAAAAAAAATTAAATTGCTCTTATGAAATCTGAAGTAGGAAAGCAGAAAGATTATCTGACAGAAATTGAATGAGAATTATTTAGCATAGCAAGCTGTACTCATTAGAAGTAACAAAATATTTTTTGCCATAAAATGGAAACAGAACACTTCACTTTTGTTTTCGTAAGATTGAAACAGAAGCAAATCTCAGAATTCTTTCTATGAAGCACTTGCATAAACATTCACTTTCAATTTCGCTCTCGATTTCTATGCGTGATAGTTGACTTGGGCAATAGAAATCTTAGGCTCATAATCTAATAATTGCTAAATAGAAACACTAGTAGAAGTTTGGGAGAATGAGAAATGCTGTAGGAACACAAACCGACAGGCAAGTGTTTCCACAGCTTTTTTTAAATTGGCAGTCTCACCAAGATTTACTGCTTCTTGAAAATCCAATGAAGGTGTTGGTATTAATTGGAAATCCACTAGTAGTTGCCTAATCTTGCTAAAATGTACCGTACTAGTCACAAAAGTTATTTAGAGCTGTTGTGGCTACGGACGAGTAGGAAAGAAGTGGTCCAAAATGTTGGGCCCACGTTTTCAAGTTTAACAATGCTACTTG